GTGGAGCTAAAACCCAGATGGGCTAAAATCTTTTCAATCCTTTCTTTGGAAACGGAGGGAGGGCCTGTCGCTTGCGCCGGCTCGGGCCAAAGCTCACGTTCCCGGCCAGCGTGTGAAGATTTACACTCTTCTCTGCCTTTTTCTTCTTCTTTTTTTTTTGGGTTGTTTGGCATCTCCGTTGGACCCTCAGACTGCCCACAATATGGATTCATTCGATGGTTCGAATGTCATTTTTCTCGTACTAAAATAATGTCCGTGCATCGCAACAGGATATAAATATTTTAACATGTTAGCTTGTGATTTATCTATTAATAATGATGTGATTGTGTAAATAAATGTATATCAAATTATACCCTTGAATTACCTTATATTTTGATTAGAAGTTTGACAAATAAATTAAAGTGGAATTGTTTTAGAAGGTAAGTATATTAAGGTGATTGATTATTAAGCAGTAGAGACAGAGATTAACCGGAAGTAAACTGAGGGGCTTCGCGGGAGTTTGGATTGCTGCCACGCAAACATCCAATGTCCCTGGCCCACACAAACCCTCTTCCGCTCGAGCAGTTTCCCGTCCAAAGCGGTCACCGCCGCTCCAGAGCGTCACCGCCGCATTCATGCCTGCCCAAAATGGACGCAACCTTTCAGGTCGCTCCGGCATTGAGAGCACCGCCCGCGCCGCATCCCGGTGCACGCGACTGATCGGCGTTCAAATGACATCCAGTATGTCCGCCTCCCTACATTAAACATGCACGGTTGCCGAGGAACCTGCTCCAGCGTCACCTGTTCATCCGTCTGTTACCCACCGTTAGCCACCTCGTTGCATGCCCTACCATCTGCACGCTATTTAAACTTCAGGCTCGGCAACAGCCGCATTCAACCTCCTCTGCTCCCTAACTCCCCTCGACGGCATGCCCATGATGGCCTCCTCGAGCTCCAAAGCCCTCTGGGACAGCCTCTAGTCCGAGCAAATAAAGGAGATCGCCACCATTGCAGTAGGCTGGCAGGTCGGCAGACGGACAAGCTCACCGAAGGCCAGCGCTGCGGACGCCCCAATGGAAGAGGCGGCCGACAACGAGCTTGTGCCAACTTCCTCGCCGGCCCATGCCGGCATCACCATGGGCGAGGCCCGAGCTCACTACACCAACATGGTGTTGGAAAAGCGACATATGCCACGTCCCTGTAGGCGCAAGGCGACCAGGAGTACAACCATCGCCTCCTCGACGAGCACCAGCGTGCGAAGGAGCAACTCGTCGGCGGCACGGGCATCGCGCCGGACATGGTCGTGGGCGAGCAGGAGGCGCTGGTCCAATCCTACCACACCGCCCGCGACATCTGCTGCACCCGCTGGCGGTACTGCGTCCATCAGACAGAGTTAGAAGCCGCCTTCAAGGAGATCGATGAGGTGGTGGATGAAGTCGGCCGCGCCCCGGTGCCATAGGGACGACGTCGCCAGCTCCACCTCGACCACGCCCCGCTGCCACGAGGACGAAGACGGCACGCCCGCGGGCGCCGCCGGTAGCGAGAAGAGTGGAGCATGGGAGGTCGCCGACGCTCGGGTCCCAGGAAGGCCACACCACTCCTCCCTTCCCATTGAAGCTAAGCTTGACGGGCTCATCATCGTTGCCGGATTAGTCGCTTGCAGGCTACGGAGGCGGAGCTTCATTTTTCGGGGCTCATGACCGGTCAGGCATGGGGAATGGACGCCAACGGTCATTTAGACTAGGTTTAGAGTACAATTTAGTTGAATATGTCAAGATGTAATGACCTTGCTCCAGCTTAGATGAAAAGCATCCAGTTCTATGTAAAAATCATCAAAATATGAATGAATATCGTCCAGTTTGTTAAATATGCATCAAATTTGTTCTCTTCCGTTAAATTCTTCCGAAATGTGCAGACATTTGCGGCTATGATTGGATGGTAGGCCTTGCATCAGTGTCCGCGGTCTGGTCCCCCAATCCACGAACGGATGCGTTGTCTAGTTTGTGTTGGCGTTGGAGATACCCTCAGGCACCACATGACACTTGTGGTGAGCAATCTCAAAAATACAAAAGCAAAAGAAAAGGTTTGTTAACACACAAACGTTGAATATGCATGATCTGCCGCAATTCCAAAAGAAGCATCGTTCGAGGAAAAATACGAGTTATTGGCCGTTTATGATACAAACACAATCGAAAGGCCATCCAGCAGGGCCTCCCCTAAACCTAGGATATATGCCTGGGTTGTCCGAACTCTCCAAACCCAGACCATATGTGGAGGAGAAATGAGGGTTGTCCGGACTGACGAGACATGGGCCCCATCTCAAACCCTAGAGCTTCCTTCCTCCCTCCGCCTATCTCCATTCTTTCATCCTCTGTTCCTCCCCCAACCCGCGCCCCATCTAGTCACACGCTCACCCGGATCATTGCCCCCGAACACGCTCGTCGTATGGACGCCACTCTTGGTATGTCTTAGACCCCCGACCACAAATGCCGTCCACCTCGTGCACCACTTATTCAACGAAATGTCTGAAATAGAGTTTGGCCGCTTTCTTGTTGCACATTTGTGGGGTGCAAAAGATGGACACCAATGATGCTTTTAATTACAACGAATTCTTCATATCATCGACATGGGACGAAGGTGACAACGACTATGAGTTTATGTTAATGTTGAGTATTCTCGGAGCATCGAAGAAGGAAGAGGAGCATATTCTCAACTTCATGGGTTCTACGTCGAGCAGGATAACTGATAACCAAAAAGGGGAAAGGGTGGCGTTGGTACTCTACACTGACTATTCATGGGCCAAGCTGACATGTCATTATGGCTTCTTTCATCCTCATTTTCGGATGCATAGGCATGTGTTCTTACGCATTGTGGAGGGTGTGAACGAATATGACACTTCACGCTAAAGAGGGATTGCACCAGGCTACTTGGGTTCTCTTGTCTCTAGAATTGCACTGCTGCTATGAGAATATCTGCATATGATACAACGGGACAAACACTGTTGATGAGTGTATCCGGATGGCAGAGAGGTCATGTATTAAAGCGATGGTCAGATTTTCCACTTTAGTGGTGAAGGTGTTTGGCAAAGAGTACTTGAGAGAACCAACTATGCCGACACAACCAAGCTTTTGGCATTTGGAGAATGAAGAGGGTTTCCCAGTATGCCTGGTTCCATCAATTGCATGCACTAGGAATGGAAGAACTATCTAGTAGGTTCATAAGGACGATACCAATATCATACTCCGAGAGCCCACCATCATACCGGAAGTAGTGACATGACACGACCTGTAGATTTGACACTCTTTCTTTGGCAAGCCAGGGTCTCATAGCAACATCGACGTGCTTCAGCGATCGTCATTGTTTGCAAGACTTTGTGTTGCAAGGCTCCCGAGTGCAACTATACCATCAATGGGCACGAGTACACCATGTGGTACTACGTTGCTGCCGGTATTTTTCCTTAATGGGTGACGATTGTGAAGACTGACACCGAGTCGCAAGGTAACAAAAAGACTCTCTTTGCCCAAATGCAAGAAGGTGCTAGGAAGGACGGGGAGTGGGCATTTGAGGTGCTGCAAGCTTGATGGGCTATTATACATGGACCTACAAATATGTGGGATCCCAAGACATTGTAGAAGATGATGACTAATTGTATGATCATGCACAACATGATTGGAGGATGAGGGTGATGGTGTACAGAATGTTAACTTTGAAAACCATGGCACATATGTCCATCTCTTGGAAGAAGAGGCATATCAGGTTGCACATTTGCTCAATATGCATCAGCAACTTCGAGATCTAGAAGCGCATCAATAACTTCTAAATGATCTTGTAGAGCATTTGTGAATACATCATGTAAGTCAATAGATCTGTGACGTACTTTTGAGTATTTTTATGTTTAAACATGTCCTCTGATTAATATCTATGTTCAAACTGTATATTTCTAAACTTGAACTATGTATTTTTTATTTTTAAGCTGTGTCTTTCGAATATTCAATTTAGGCTGAAAATGAAAATGGACAAAAAGGGTCAGACAAATGGGGGATGCCGCCAGGTGTCTAATTTATGACGGATAAATGGGCTTTTTCCATGAACACGTCCACAAATAAATCGGAACGGGCAGAGGGGTTTTGGACTTTTGGTGCATTCCCTTGAAGATGCCCGTACGGGTCAGAGGATGCCTAATAGCTTTAGGCTAGGTGCATCCCTCGCAATGATCAATTTCCAACCGCAACTATGGAAAAACCACGCGCCAACAGCTAGGCAAGGAGGGGTTGGCTGAGCAGCCGAGAAGAGCATATGCAGAGTGTAGCCATTATCGAGTGTCTTTCTTCCTCAAAAAAAGGTTGTGTCTTTCTTTTCCAAACTTGAGGCAATTTGCCTCAGCTTGAAGTGGGCATGTATAGATGGTGTACCATTTTTTGTCACACAGTTAAGAAAAAAAATTGGTCATGACCAAAATTTTGGGCATTGCTTGAATCATTCCTAATATTAACGCATGCTTAATCCAATTCTAATTTATTTTTCTTTGCCAACATTGAAGAAAACGTGGGAAGCCAAAACCTTATCCAGTATATTGGCTAGCCAATTTCTTTTTTGCTTGTGGTTGGCTTAGGCTCAAAGCAGGCGCACCAACAAATCATAGAATCTTTCTTTTAAAAAGTTAAGGTGTATGGAACAGATGTTTCAAGCAGTTCCCCAGTTGATGCATGCATGTTTCAAGCAACTGAGAATACAATCATACATCACTAGATCATTAAAAGTACAATCACATGACAGACATTTAGGAATCACAGGACACAGACCAGGCAGAGGAGAATGATCATCATGTGATTTCCAGCAGGCTTCACGTGCTGTCCTTGATAACACCAACCACCCCAAAGAATATTGAGCATGTTACAACAAAGTGGCTGAAAAAGCGAAAAGACACAAACACAAACTGTAAAGAGAGAAAAGCAAATCGGCAATCACATTTCTTCAATATACACCTGAATCACATGATATCCTGTTGCCAACTATTCACTTCAGCTGAAGAGATTAGGGATGCAGGCTCCCGAGTCGGGGTTCTGCTGCTCCTTCCAGATGCGGCCAGTCACCCGCAGTTTCAGCTCTTTCCTCTCCCCACCGGAGAAGAAGAGTGCCATGTTCCGCTGGATTATGAGGCCGTCATGGCTGTCACGCACTTTGCGGTGACTGTCCCGGATGCTCCGGGGCGTGCCCTCCCATATCATCTTCCTGCCATTGGCACCCACCTCAAGGCTATAGCTGTAGTTCCTTGCGTCATTCTCGTCGCCCATGAAGCGGAGGAATGCCATGTAGACTGGCGCCATTCCGAGCTGGAAGGCCTCAAAATGCAAGCAGAAATACTGCCCGAAACAATGGAAAACCTAGATATGAAGGCATTGTGTCAGATAGGAATCACTTGATTCACATGCTGAAGGTAAATGAACAGAAAAAGAAACAGGCAGAGGCAGATGTATCAAGCAGCACTAGGGGGAAGCTACCACCTTTCTTTTGGGTAGTTGGACACATTCTGAAAGACCATCCAGTATTCTAGGACCAACAAAAGTTTCTTTATGATATTATAAATGAAGGATGACGGAAGCACGATCAAGGTACAGCAAGATAGTAATCTAGTGTATTGTAAATCTTTTCCCCAAAATACAGGTGGACATAAGATATCAAGTAAATGCAACAGGCAAGTGTACAAGCCTAGAGATGAAAAGGTTGTGAACACTTACAGTTAGCATCCAAGTTGCATTTTCAACTTCTCTGGGATTTGACTTGACATAACGATGGTTGAATGTGCACCCAGAATGCATGTCAACCTTATGGTCATCTCTCAGATGTGAAACAAGGAAAGGAATGTCCCCAACAACGGAGCATTCAGATCCCGCATAAGGGCAGCTGTATGGCCTAAAATTGCACTGCGACTCATGCTTGAGCTTGCTATAGTATGGGAAGATCTCTGGACAACCTAGTGAGTAGTATTTGCATGGTAGCTCAAGTGATTCAGCCACCTTTTCCAATGCCAAACACCTGATGTCGCCCAGCTCTTGTCGACAGGTAGGGCAGCGGTTGTGCACCCGAGCTTTGCAAGTAGAACAAAGGGTATGCCCATTTTGGCACTGTAAAAATAGCAAAGATGTTATTTTGTTGTCACTGTCAACTTAAATTGTCAAACTTTTGGACGTACAGAGATAGATGGTCGTAGAAACAAAATCCTGAAATGCATAATCCAGACAAATCAATCAAAACAGAATGGAAGGTACATCAGCTAGTTAGGCAACAAGTAACTAGATAGTATAGACCTAGAGCAAGACTAGGTACCAGTACAGTATATAAGATTCACAAAAATGTTCAAACAAACAAATATCAATTATGCGTAAACATATTTGCTGATGTATTGGTGTTGTTTAACAGTATAATGTTGCTACAGATATTGCATTCCTTCTCGCCACAATAATTTACTTAAAAAGGAGTAGGTTTACTCAAGTCAAATATAATACTTAATGTTAACTACACATTGGAAAAGAAATCCCTTCTAAAGAAGGCTATTATAAGAATATGCAGCCCATCTGGAAGGCACGTCCTATTGAACTGTGCATCTTGTCCTATAGTATAAAGAGGGAAGTACACTGCCTACACACAGCCAGCATGAATATCTATTCAGGGTGCATTCGCAGAAATTTTGAAGGCTTCATGTAACATTTATACTAACAGAACACTTCACATGTTCAGGACATGCAAAAATAAATCATACATTCTATATGATTACATTGCATGTGAAAGACAGATAAGCATACCCATAAAAAGGGGGCACAGAAGGACCCAATACAAAATTTCAAAACTTTTAGCATTGGTAAAAACAGATGCACAGGTACAAGAGGACTTATTGATGAAAGACATCACATATGGGAAGACTATTAATATATCCTCCACGCAAAGAAAAATGAGGTAACCTTGGGAAGTAGGCTATCATATATAAACAAAAGCTTGTTCACCAAACATAAAAGATGTTTAGTGCCTAGTCTGGCCATCTGGATTGATGCAACTATGAAGGGCCTACACAATTAATTATCAGTCACAAAAGAACATGCCAACATATCATTATGTCTATCATGATATTTTTGTAAGCCGGTGAAGTATTCATGAAGATGTAAGTGTAACTCAGGCTAGTCCTGATGAAAGAACTGGTTTCCACACTTGAATAAATTTCGAAGATTAGGCCTCATGGTTCAGTAGTTGAGCAACTTCTGTGATACTTGACCAGCATGTGTGGGTAAGGTATACGATAGATAATAAAATCAAGTACAGAAGCATCCCAGCCCTCACCACATAGATTGTTTAGGTATACTCAAAGTACCATTAAGTATGTGTTTACTCATTCACCAAAACCATATATAACTGATGAACACCTGACATGTTATTCTAATGTATTTTAGTATGCATCATGACAAGTGCATAAATTATGTGACAAATAAATATTTTCAGTCATAATCTTCATTGTCCCTATATGCTCATCAGTCACCAAGCAACAAGAAATAATTGCTTTTGAAAATGATCGGTTACACACATTCTATATATTCGCTACACTTTTAACTTACTTGAATAATGTGGTTAGCAAGAACATCGATCGATAAAGCTATAGTTGTTTCTCTAAATTGTGTTGAAGATTGGATTAAGAGGTGGGTGGAGTTTAACAAACATTCTGCCAACCAAACATAAGAAAAACAGAAGAATACTGCCTCCTGCTTTTAAAGAAAAACGAGAATAGTACGGTTTACATGAGAATGTATGTTCCTTTCTCCAACATACAATGTATTCTTTTCTGATAACTGGTGGCAAAGCATGGGACAGTTCAAATGCCCTAAGGGCCTAACTAAACATTATAATTTCCTTTTCCAGCATTGCAGTACTCAGTTAATGAAGAATCTAAAATTGTCAGAACCCAAAACCTTCAGAAACTATTGAAGAATCTAAACTACATCCTGATTATAACACTCTGCTTCCAACCATGATTCCTCAGGCCAAGAATGATCGTGCAATCATATATATCACATTTAAAATCCCTCCTGCAATTGGGTATGTTAAGTCCCGATAACACCGTTTCTTCACAGCGTTAATTTTTCCACTTGGGAACGCAAAATTTCAACGGGAATTCTCCTTATCAGGATTGATTGTGATGTACTAGCGTCTTAGTCATGAAATTTCAGTTCTTGCGTGACTTGAATGTGCCTAGAACGCAAACAATGAAGTATATGACATCCGCAAAACTTGAGTTGCAGCCAAAGAAACCGAAACAAGCAACCAAGATCCCGCCTTCCCTGCGTCGGAGATCAAACACGCCGCGCAAATTCCAAGGACCGGACCAAGATCCCGGAGGCAATCAAGAAAAAGAGACAACCCAAGGGCACGGACCGAGGCGCTGACCTGGTGGATCGGGGGGTACATGGAGTTGGTGCAGACGGGGCACTCCAGGAGCTCGTGGACGCTCGTGGCCGGCGGAATCAGCGGGCCGGCGATCCCCCCGGCCGCGCCGGCGCCGGACGCGCCACCGACGCCGCCGGGGACCACCCCGATGCTGGCCGCCGCGATGGCCGCCGCCGAGGCCTTGAGGAAGGGGCGGGGCAGGTTGGAGGACATGGCGTCGTCGTCCTCCATGCCGTCCGACGACGACACGCACTCGATGCTGTCGATCATGTCCATGGCCGCGGCGGCGCGGCCGGATCCCGGCCGAATCGCGGGGATGGGGACCGCGGGCCGCCTCGGCTCCACAGCTCCGCTCTGCCTCTCTGCGTACTGCAGCCGGGTTCTTGGAGAAATGGATTCTTCGAGAACTCGAGGTCGCGGGGGAGGGTCGATGGATTGGGCTCCTCCTGGTCTGGTCGTTTCTTGGTCTCCTTTCTCGTTCTTCTTTCCTGGCGTGTCCGCCCTTTTTCCCCTTCTTGGTAACGTCTAGGGCAGGGCAGGTTGGGTACATAAAAATGGCAGCAGCACAGCAGGATGGTGCAGTTTGCACTGCGTCGCGGTTCAGCGGTTCAAAACTCAAAAGGGCGAAGAGACGGTTCATGTAGGGTCAGTACACTGTATCAAAAAGAAATTCAAATGGCGAACCAACATATGATTGAATGGTTGGAGGAACTGTGGTATCCTCAGTCCACCAGAGTTTAAATCCTGGTGCTCGCATTTATTCCTGAATTTATTTCAGGATTCCGGCAGTAACGCACCGAAACCGATGTGCCACGTGTCCTCCAGTTATTCGTTGTTGTTGCTTTGTCATTGCTTGTGTGTCATGCATTGCATATCATGTCATCATGTGCATTTTATTTGCATACGTGTTCGTCTCATGCATCCGAGCATTTTCTCCGTTGTCCGTTTTGCATTCCGGCGCTCGTTCTCCTCCGGTGGTCATTTCTACCTTTCTTTCGTTTGGAGATTAAACATTTTCGGATTGGACAGAGACTTGCCAAGCGGCCTTGGTTTATTACCGGTAGACTGCCTGTCAAGTTTCGTACCATTTGGACTTCGTTTGATACTCCAACGGTTAACCGAGGGACTGAAAAGGTCTCGTGTGTGTTGCAGCCCAACACCCCTCCAAGTTGGCCCAATACCCACCTAAACCATTTCCATCATCTCGGTCGTTCGATCATGATCGCGTGGCCGAAAACCGCACCTTATTTGGACTCTCCTAACTCCCTCTACCTATAAATATGTGCACCCCGTTCATTTTCGCGGACGAAACCCTAGATCCCACCTTCTCGCGCCGACGGACACGTCCGCACCCCGCCCGCGTCCAATCCGGAGCCTCCACGTGGCGACCGCCGCCCGCCGCCGCCGGCCCGGCGAGGCCCAGTTCGGGCCCCCCGAGCCCATCTCCTCGCGTCGCCTCACGCCCGCGCGC